CAGGACCCTGGGATCATAACCTGAGCCGAAGGCAGACGCTTAGTGACTGAGCCACCCAGGGGCCCCAGGGAGCCTCTTTATAAGTCAAAGAGGGGAAATGAGAAGGGGAGCATCCCATTAGCGACCTGATTCATGGCCTTCTAACTGAGGGTTCTGAGGGTCCACTGGGTTTTCAGACTTGCTGTTTGAGACTTGCAGAGTTGTGTGTACCTCATGCCAGAAGTATTCCTTTTTCAATTTACTGAAAAATTTCAGCCAAATCTTCCCCTCCCAGTCCCCAAACCCAAAGCTGTTATTACAGAGACTCGCAGTTAAAATACTAGATCTCAACGCAGCATTCAGGGTCGACAGGATGGCTGACCCCGCGGCTTTCCGAAAGAGGAAATGGAGGCTCAGGGAGGATGCAGGAGCTAGGTTACGGTGCATCCCCTGGATGGAGTCCGTACTTGGGTTTTCACTCTGAGTCCTGGGTGGGGGCTCTGACCCTGGCTTTCAGACCTCACTCACCCACAATCACTCTGGAGCTTTCTTTTCTTCTGTATTCTTTGTTATTAGTTGTATTGTTAAATCACATTTTCATTTTAGAAACTCAAACAGTAGAGATAAAGCTGAAGTCCCTCCTGGCTGTCTTCCCTCCCACCACATTTCCCTGGGCCCAGTCCTTTCTCCAGAGACCCACAGTTATCAGCCTTCTGTGTATCCTTCCCGGCCTTTCTCTCTGCCTGAAAAATAGACTTTTATTTGTACATCAACAGTTATCTAATTTTTATTCATAAATGGGATCATACTATATGTATTATTTTTCCGTAGCTTACTTTTTTTGCTTTATAATGTGTCTGTGAGGTCTTTCTGTGGCGAAAGATACAGATACAGATTTTCCTCATTGCCTTTAACTCTCTGCTGCGTGGTGCCTTATATGGGTGTACCATAATTTATTTAGGAAGCCCTTTTAACAAAATACTGCATCAGAAGCTCCAGGAGTGAGACCTAAGCATTTGTATCTTAAACTGCCCACATGATTCAGATGGTCAGTATCAGGAAGATGGTCTCTATGCATCTGAAGGGATTTCCACTGTGAAGCTTTGGGACATTCAGCTTTCCTACTGATTCCTTATGGTCCTCTCCCGGGCCCTTTCTTGAATAGTTCCTGGATATGGCAACTCTGTGTTCATTGATTCATTCAAACCATATCAATGGAACAAGCATTTCGCAGACACTTTATACTATGTGGTTGGGGGACAGTGTTACATAGAGTGAGAGTCCAAGGTTCGAATCCCAGCCCACCATTAGCCAGCTGAGGGACTTTACAAGAGTCTCCTGACCTCAGTGGGGCTTGCGTTCCTCAGTCGTATTGCGGAGGACATTACATGCTGCTTTCAACTGCTGTGAGGATTGAGAACATTTATGCCAGGTGATTAGCCTCGAGCTCAATAACCAAGATAATGTCACCTGCTAATATTGTCCTCATTTATATTTTTATACTTTGTTTATTATTATTATTTTTTAAAGATTTATTTATTTATTTGAGAGAGAGAATGAGAGATAGAGAGCATGAGAGGGAGGAGGGTCAGAGAGAGAAGCAGACTCCCTGCCGAGCAGGGAGCCCGATGTGGGACTCGATCCCAGGACTCTGGGATCATGACCCGAGCCGAAGGCAGACGCTTAACGACTGAGCCACCCAAGCGCCCCGTTAATTATTATTTTAAAGGTAGAATCTATAAACAGATTTTGTCTGACTTTCAGACATGAGAGAAAATGAAAAAAAAAAGGTGTTTGTCCATGTGCCATAAATATGGCAACCCCAAAGCTCAGGCTACAGTCCCTCCATCGTGTCTATGGATTCTTGCAGAAATATCATTTGGCATCCGGACACAGTTTCTATTAAGAGGTAGGAAAGAAGGGTCCAGAAGAAGGTCTCTTGGTCCCTGCTTGTAACTTGGAAATTCCTACTAATTTTACACCAGGACAAGAACATAATACTTATGCCTGAGATGTATCTGGAAGCAGTTTAATTAGGAAGGCAACAGGTTAAGAGGTAAACACACATTTACGTGTGTGTTATTCCAGTATAGTTCCTGCTACTTCCATTTATTTGCTGCTCCTTTTCTAAGCCATAGGAAGGCTTAAAAAAACATGTAGCAAAAAGGTATCTATCTGGGGCAAGTTTACACAGAGTGGGAAAGCAGTAGGTTTGGAATCTCCCACTTGATGCAAGCAAGTCATTAATTATCTCCGAGAATGGAGGGGCAGAGAAGTGCCTGCCCAGTAGACAACTGGCCTCTGAGCTTTGCCCCGGGGCGGTGGGGGGGGGGAAACTCTGCCTGTTGGCGCCGTCCCTGCCTCGGTGGCCTGTTCTGGAGACTGTCAGGGCAGCCCTGGGTCTCGGTGTCTCGCTGATCCGGGATGGCCCGTCTGCAGCTGGTCTTGTCTTTGAAATGGAAGAGCCTGCTGACAAGACAGGACACAGATCCACCCCAGGCACATGGTGTCTCGCTACCATTCAACGTGTTTTCTGAATCTGTTTCAGAATCTATAATAACTTGCCGGAAGTGAAAAAGAAAAAAGAAGAACAAAAGAAAAGAGTGATCTTACAGAGTAACAGACTGCGTGCTGAAGTCTTCAAAAAGGTAACGGCCTGGCCGCCAGCAGGTGTGTGTGGCACGCAGATGCTGAACCTGACCTTGACGTGTTTGTCTCCTGCTTCCCTAGCAATTACTGGACCAGCTCCTTCAAAGGAACGCGGTCTAACCGTAGGCTGCCCTGCTGACCCACTCCCTGGACCTGGGATGACTTCAAACGCTGGATCAACCATTAAACTTAGCATTATCTTCATGATATGAAACACTTACTTTACTTTTGATTTTTTTTTCATAAAGGAAAACATAGCTTCCTGAATTGCTTGCCCAAACCACACAGAAACAGTAACCCTTGAGGAAATGGGCCAGCAGACCGTGGAGGGGTGACCGACGCGATATAAACCACTAGATACAGTCCCCTCAGTTTTCCACTTTGGAATTTACCGTTTGCTTCTGATCCCCCCACCCACCCACCCACCGCACCACCATTTCCACCGAGACAGAGAAAGGCCTTATACGTTCACATGGGCCTAGATCCTAGGGGGTTATTTTTCTTCATCAAATTTTTGGGACCCACATCTATCAGTTTTTAAGTATCAGTCCCAACTTCTGCCAGTAGTCCACACTTTGGGTCAGCGCCCAGTATGTTTAAATACTCTCTGGATGTGTTGGCCACGTAATGCTGGACGGTGACCTTGGAAGTAAGCGGGTGCTCTGACAGGAACGAGGGAGCGTGCAGTCTGTGTGTCTGCGACCCAGGGTGGGCAGAGCCGTCCTCACGACCACACCCCACACTGAGTGCTTCTCTTCATTTAGAAAAAGAGTCCATTTCCACAGAAGCTATGAGAGCGGAACTGGTGGGGGAAAAAATTACAGGTGACTTCAGTGTTTTCTGCACAGCCCCCTCCTCCTAGGACCAAAGCTGTGTTGCTGAAAATGGCCCGGTGGCTCCCACTCTGCCATTTGCTCTTCCAACGCTGATGATGTTCATGATTTACCAGTGTGTGTTTGGGGAGTTAAGAACTAACTAGTTTTTATCAAAAATGGAAATAAATGCAATTATTACAAAAATGGAAGTATCGCTCCGCTCTATATTCCGCGTTATGAACTGAGCAGCTGCTGTGGATGACGCTCGGTGAGAACGCTGTCATGGCCCAGCGGGGGCCTCTGACCCCTCTTCTGCCACCTTCTCACCACCAGGACACCCGGGTCAGGAGCCCCGGAAAGCAGGCATGAGAGAAGCAAGGAAACTGAAGAGCAAGGTTTAGGATCCTGAAGGCCTCGCATCTCACTAGGAATTGCCCCAGAATGAGAAGGAGGTTTGGGGGATTAAGCAGGAGCCCTGTTGACACCTCTGTCCCCATCCCGAGGCTGTCACTCACCTTCCCTCCTCCCAGTGCTGCATATGCCATCCCTTTTCTGGAATGCCTTTCACTTTCTTTTCTATCAAAAAACGGTTTAAAAACTCAGCCTTTGGGTTCTCTCCTGACACCTTGCCCACTGCCCTGCCCTCCAGGATGAATTGGTGCTTTGCCCTTTGGGCACATGGTATCAGGCCCTGCCAGCAGGAGATGATGAACAACATGGTCCGGACTAGACTCCGGATTCAGGTCTTGGCTGCATTGCTCCCCAGTCTTTTGCCCTCAGGCTAGGGGATCGGTCTGGATCCAATCAGGAGAGAGAAACAGCACAGTAACTTGGCTGGGAAAAGTGTAATGTATATAATTACTTACCATAAAGGGAGTGCAGGAACGAGGGATTGGCTAGTGAGGAGAGGAAACCCGAAAGCATGCAGGTGGGGACAGCCCCCGAGCAGCACGGCCCCATAAGGAACATCCCCTCCTGCCCTGAGCTGAGATCCAGACAGGATGTAGCTTAGCAGGTGGCAGGCATTCCTGTGGTGCCCTGCTGTTGGATCTCGTTGAAAACCCACCCTCTGGAACTTGCTGGAAGCCAGCTCTCTAGGATGCTTGTGGGCGGGGGGTGGGGGGATGTTATTCTGCTGCAGTACCACCTGAGGGGCGAGGGGGCGCCCCCTGACCCACAGGAGCCCGCTGAGCAAACGTCCCAGACCTAGGAAGCGGCACCCTTCTGTCCCGCCATGTCTCTGTCTCCTTCACCAACAAAGCTTAGCGTTGTGCTCGCAAACAGAGGGAACACATTTAGGGGACCTGGATCCATTTCAACAGAGGAGGCAAGAAGGGCAGCTTTGCAAGGGCAAGATCCTACCACCCAACACTGGCGCAGCCAGCTCCTTAGCCTGGCCTCCGTTCCCTCACCTATAAATAGGAGACAACTCTAGCACCTCCTCAAGAGGTTGCTATGGGAATGGATCATCGGTGTGAATCAGGTGTTTCGAAGTGTGTCTGGCCCAAAGCAGGCACACCAGAGTGTTTCCTGTCACCCAGATGCAGAAATGGAGGCTGGAGTGTCTTCAGGAACCCTTGGGCCCAGGGGCCGTGAGTTGTCCATTCCCATCATCCCTCAGCTTGGCATTGAGAACATGCGCCAAAAAGACCATTGACTCCGTGGATGTTGCCACAGCAAAAATCAGTCCTACAAACAGGATGCTTTGTAAACTTTGGCTCTCAAGCTCTTCTCCCTCTTAGAAACAATTTCAACAGCGTGGTTTATGCTTACCCTTAAGGGTTAATCCCAGCTTTCTTGAATTCCAAGATGGTACACTGAATTTCTATTCAGATTTTTCACGCTCTCTTAAATCATTTAAGCCAAATCTATGAGCTTAGTTCAGGCCAGTCTTTCTCAGTGCCTCACCTTTTCTTATTTTTCTTTCCTATCTTCAGAGAGTTTCAAAGCTTTCCCTAACCAATAATTTAAATTCAGGGCCCAACCACTTCTAGACTGTTCTGTGACACTTTCTAAGTGGGTTTATGTCACCTAGCAACCAAATATCTCAGAATTCCTGGATGCGGCCAACTTCCCAAAGTTGCTCATGAAGAGCTTACCCCCTCTGCAAAGCGGATGCCAAGTCTTAAAATCTAAACAGTAAGTAAAAGTCAATTTGGGATCGAATGCCCTTGAATGATGTATTTCTTTTTTTAAGATTTTATTTATTTATTTGACAGAGAGAGCAGGAGAGCACGAGCAGGGGAGAGAGGCAGAGGGAGAA